GTCATAACTTAAAATAAGCACTGCATGTTGTCCATTCTACTAGAAAGGTTAGGGCCTTCTTATATATATAGTTATCCGTATCTACAATTCCTTAATAACATAGTCAACACCACATGAGCAATAGAAATGGTATTCATGAGTTATGGACTGATCGCATCATTTTGTAGATAGACATAAAAGAGATTTGCAGCCTGGGTACCTGAACAAAATCATGAGCCTAGCTCAGTCCTCATGCCCAGGAGGCATGTACAGTAGAGCCTGTCTTGCTAGAGGATTGTTTCCTGAGATCTGTGCCCGAGAATACTGACTCATCCAGCTTCTGGAGGCACTCAGAATTTATGATTTCCTCAGGACTAGAGCTGGGAATCTGCATCCTGGCTCTCTTTGGGAGTCTGTTATAGCACATCTCAGAGAAGGTTCTGATCTTCCCTGCAGCTGAGACATCTGCCAGTGTTCATTCTGGAATGTCCTTAACCTTTTCTCTCCATAGAACACTTTACACAGGAACTGGGCAAATGTTGTAGAAAGAATTGTTCAGCGGTGGGAATCTCTATCTACATGATATTTTCCTAATAAAAATGCAATTACAATCAGGCCTCATGGTGCAAACCTTGTAATCCCCTATGTCGGAAAGCTGAAGCAGGAAGCTCTCTGTCAATTTTAGGAAAGCCTACTGGGAACAAAGCTACAGAGTTATGAAGGAGGAAGGAAGACTCAATTCTACATACTCACTATATGTCGAATGGAATATTTACTAAAAAGATCTTATTGATGGTACCAGCAGAATTCTCTGAAGTCTTTGTTCCTTGTTTATTGCTGGGAGACACTGAGGTGAGCAGGGGCCCACAAATGACAGAGCTTCCAGGCACAGGGGACCCACTTGGCTCTACCTTCTCCTCCCACTCTGTTCTCCTACCTCATCTGGGAGTCCTCAAAGTGATGCTGCAGCTTTTCTGCCACATCCTTTTCGGGGGTGAGCACCTCCTTCTGCTTCAGCAGGAACTGAAGTCTTTGCTCCACTCTCTTGAGATCCTGTTTATTAGAAGATTGTGTTCTTAGTGGAGGGCCAGAGACTGTCATACAAATCTAAGTGCATATAAAGGACCCAAGTAGCTTGCTGGTCAGCCAGTCAGGAAAACAAACACATTTGGGAAATTAAGAAACCATGATCCAAGCTAGAGACTGACCAGAAAAACAGAAATACTTGTACACGGACACTGAAATGATCACCCTGAGAGCCTTAGTTTTGTGGCTGGATGGGAGTGTAATAGAATCAGGTGATGTGTAAAAGCACTCACGGGGGATGGGCAGAGAGGAGGTCAATGGGCAAATGGCTGTAGACCTCAGCCTGACCGCCTTGCCTGCCAGTACCTGTTGGTGCTGGGAGTTGAGGTCACTGGTGTCTTCTTTGTCCTTACAGATCACTTTCCACTTCTCCAAGAGGGGCTTCAGCAGATCCCAATCCTCCAACAGCTTCCTTTTCTCCTGCCTCAGCATGTCCACCTTCTTCTCCAGCTGAGTCTTTTGCATCAGGAGCCGGCTCTGCAGACCACTGGAGAAACACTCTGCATACTCAGGCCCTGCCAGCCTGCTCCTGCCACCCCTGACTCCAGGAATAAGCACCCCAAAAGGTCTTATGCTTCCTAAAAGACTTAGTCTGGAATCTGATACAGCCATGACAGCTGAACTCCGAAAGCCCAGAGGAGAGCGCAATTCATACAGGAAATTATCAAACTACTATGGAAACCCACAACAGTAAAAAGGATCCATGCCCATTCAATAGGAAGAGGAGGCCAGCAGCTGTCCTTCACTGTCTATGGTAATGGAGAAACATCAGCAAGTGGTGGGCAAATCCCCTCCAAGGGAAGACAGGCGACCCCAGGTGAGTATGTTCTACCTACAGGTTCTACAGCCACCATATCTGTAAAGCCTGGTCCTGAGTTCCAGATGTCCAAGACTGCCTGACGTTCCTCTCACACTGCAAATCCCTTTTCTACCTAGAGCCTCGTGAGGCTCTAGGACAAGGTGGCAGGGGTAACTGTCTCTTTCACACTTAGAAAAACTGAGTCTAAGAGACACAAGTCTCAGAGCTGCTGACTAGGAAGCAGAAAGGCTGGAACCACAGTTGGGGACTCTCCATGCAGAGAAAAAGAAAGTCAGAGAAATCCATTATACAACCTTTGTTTCCACGACCACACGGGCACTTACCGATAGAAGACCGTATCCTCGGTCAGCTCACTGAACTTCTGTGAGGCCATGGTGTTCTCCTCCTCCAATCTCTTCAGTTTCAACATGACCTCATCATGTTCCGACTTCAGTTTCTCATAGAATGAGTTCGGCTTGTGGTAGGGCCTAAAAACAGAAGGAAAAACCCCATGGACACTGTCCTCGAGTATCATGGGAACTCTAGTTGATCCCTGGTTCTCCATAGTCCTGTGGATGCCACATTTGGCCTCATGTGGCCTGGGACCACAAATTACTTTTCAGTTGGTATCCTTGCCCCAGGACAGCTGAGACTCAGGTGCAGATGGAGGGTCACCTGGGTGCATGTTCTCACTCAGTAGGCCTAGAAGTTCAGTGTCGCTCTCTATGTTACCAGGAGTCTGTGACATGGGTCTTGACACACCACATAGTGTAGTGACCTTTCTCCCATTTCACAACAGCGAGTCTAGATCCTGGGTTAAAACTGCTGAACACTTAGAGCACGTAATTGTGAGTTTTAGACACAAGAGCACGACAATGGTAAAACTCCCCCAAGGGATTCCTAGGTGATACCAAGGTGAGAACATAGGAGAAGAGTTGTGTGACCTAAAGTGGCATCACCTGGAATGTGGGACTGGAAAATCCTTAGGCCGTACCACAGATGCCTCGCTCCCAGTATCTACAGGGACAAACATGTTCAAATATGTGCAGTATGCGCACACAGGCACACAGACGCACACAGACACATGCGTGCACACATACACAAAGAGAGAGAGAGACAGAGACAGAGACAGAGACAGAGAGACAGAGAGAGAGAAAGGGAGCAGATGAGACATAGAACAGATGACTGCCCTAACGTGGCTGGTAAATAAGTGCACAGAACAGAATTGTCTAAGAGTAAAATGACGAAAATTAGAGAGGAAGTGGGATGTGCCCTAGGATTCCCAGTTACAGCTTAGATGGACCAAGGCTCCTCCAGCTGCCACCAGAGTCTTTGAGCACGCAATATTCTGCCAGTCCAGTTCAAAGTCTCACCATACACTACCAGCAGCTAGTATCTCCCACAAGCCACCACCTGTCAAGTCCTTTCTAAATGCACACTGGCCAATACAAATTACTGCTTCAGTCCCTGAGCTGTATGACTAAGACCACATGCTCTGGTTTTCATTTAGAGAAGGGAGAAAGTTAGAGTTCCCGCCTCACTCCCTCCAAAGCTTCTTGTCTGCCTCTCCTCTGAGAATAATTTTGGATGGGAGCTTCAGCACAGAGTCCCTCTGGATTTGCAAGCTCTGAAAAGCCAAGACTTTTTCGTTACCAGAATTTAGTTATTTTCCTTTAATTTAAACAGCATTTTTATCTATTTTACATAACATATGCAGTTTTCCCTCCTCATTGCCCCCTTTCCCATCTAACCCCTCTCCTTCCACTCCTCCTCCTGTCTCCTCTCAGAAGGGGAGACCTCCCATAGGCCTGAGCACAGCATGTTGAGGCAGGGCAGAGCTCCTTGCCTTACTTCAAGGCTAGGCTAGGTCATCCAGCATCGGAACAGGTTCACAAATGTCAGCCAAACTCCAGGGACGGGTCCTGATCTCACTGTTAGGAACTTTACAAATTGACCAAGCTACACAATTGTCACACACATGCAGAGGGTGGCCTATGTCAGTCCCATGGAGGCTCCCTAACTGTTGGTTCAGAGCCCATGAACTCCCATGAGCTTAGGTCAGATTTCACTATGAAACCCACGACCCTAAAAGAAATCAGGAGAGGGTGATACTGCAGGCACTCCCATGAAGTCTGAACCGATGGATACCTATTGTCCACGGTGCCTTCTGTGATGAAGTTGAGGCGTTCTCGCAGCTCATTTCTTTGTCTGGTCATCAGCTGCAGCTCCGTGGTCAGTCTCTCCATTTTCTCCTCTACTGGTGTCTTTGTGGGGAGCGTTGGGTGGGACAATGGCTCTGCAGCAGTATCTGTGGGACAATAGAACACAAGTGAAATTGCATAGCAACAAGGCATAGAGGATGGACAGACCACCCTGAGGCCCAAACAGAGAGATGATGTGTGGAAGCCATTGACAACAATAATCTTTTGGGCCTGGTTGAGACATTCCCCCTCTATGGATCTCAGCTCGCCCATCACTCTAGACCTGTGGCTACATAAGCAGCCTGGAGTTTCCTTTGTCTCCCTGCACAGGCTTCAGGAGGAGACACCAATCACCTCTTCAGGCTTATTCACAGCAGCACAGGATGCAGCATGGTCCAGAGCCCTGAAGCCTGCCTTTTGTGTGGATCCCAGATGTCCCTCCTGGCAGCTCCAGGCCCATGGCTGCGGATTGAAGAGTCACACAGGGGCACAACATGGCCAGTAGACTCACCAAATCACCCCACTGACAGCCCAGAACCTGAAGCTGACAGGAAGCAGGCAATCTCTGCCCTGATCCCATGCCTCTGACGGTTGTTTGGCTACACTAGGGAACTGCCTGCCACCATCAACTGCTGATTCAGAACCCTAAGGATGCCACAGTTAGGGAGAGGTGGTCAGAGGAGTTCTGCTGTACAGTCTGTGGACACAAGGTCTTGGTCAGAAGCACTTATCTCTCTGTGTGACTAGTGTCAGACAGCGACTGTACCTAAAGGGAGCTACTGAGGTGAGGAGCAGTGATGTGTGCCCTAAGATGGGAACATATTAATCCTTCCCTTCGTCCTGATGGTCTCCTTCTGCCATCACCTTACAGCTTCAGTCCACAGTAAATGTCAAAGCGAAGTGGTGCTCCCAGAATAACAGCCTTGGTCAGTTCTGTCTCTGGCTTAGGAGATGAACTAACTAATGTTCTGGAAATCCTTGGCTTTCGTGAGTTATGATCAGCAGGGAAGTCCATATGTTTCTCAGAGGCATCAGCTCCGATGTCCCATCACTTAAAGGCCCAGGTCAAGCCCACCTCCACCACAAGCTCCATATCCCCTGGCCAGGACTCACTCTGCCTTCGCCAGAGCCATTTCTTTGTTCGTGTTTTTCTCTGACCCTGAAGGGTAACTTCATTTTGCCTCACTCTGGTCTCTGGACGTCTTCCACTCTCTCTCCCAAACAGACTCCTCAGTCTTGACAACATGGCTAATGGTGGCCCTGATAGGCACTGAAGGAATGCCCTAAGGGCAGTTGGTGTTGCTACAACACTGGTGACATCACTTGGAATTCCAAGAGGTCTCCAGGATGCAATAGAATGTTCAAAGGAGGAACTGCTGGTGTTATGGCTGACTGCATTTGCACCCCTGCTAATTAGCTTTCCTGAACTGACCATAAGTCCAGGTTCCCTTTCTTGAAGTCTCCCTGGGAACACAGAGGAAGGCTTTCAATGCCCCTTCCTACCAAAACCAAAGTTCCGTTAGCATAAATGGAAGGCCGCTAGTACTTCCCGTGTTGAGAACTAATCTATTTTTTTAAAAAATGGCACAGGCATGTCTCATTCCTTCCTCAGATTCTCTCTATTCATCAATATGAACAAATGAATATTATTGTGAAACCACGTTAAGATCTGCAGGATGGTTACAGTGTTGAATTTGGGTAAAGGGTACAGACATGGAAGCCATGTGCTTAACTTTAGTATGTTGCCCCAGGATTCCTAATCATGTAGGGAATGCACCCATCCTGGTGCTGACAAATGTGTGATTACTCCTAGGCAGAGGAAGTTGAAATAGTGGATCCACCCAGAGAAAAAGCCCCCAGCCCTCCACTCTGCACCAAAGACACAGTGCAGGCTTAGTTATGGGTCTCTCTGAGTTACAGTCAGATTCTTCCTCTAGGAGAAAAAAAGTGCATAGTGGGAAAAGGAAGACAATAGCTGTAGACTTACTTCCATTGGCAGACTGAGTGTCGCCATCCTTGCCTTCATGACCATGATGGACTGAATCTCTGAAACTGTACGCAAGCCGCCCTCAATTAAATGTGTTCTTTATAAGAGTTGCTGTGGTCACGGGGTCTTCTCACAGCAATAGAAACCCTAACTAAGGAAGGAGGTTATGACCCGCAGACTCCCTATGCTCAGCTAAGGAAGGATGGATGTATGGTCAGAAACGACAATATCTAATAACATAGCACTGGTGGTTGTGGAAGACTTAGTGGGATGGGAACTTTAAGATAATTTTTACTGAAGTAAAAAAAAAAGCTAGAATATTTCTACAAAGAGAATTTTTTCATCACTGTTTCCTAGTATAACTCAGTGAAGAAGAATGTCAGTTTGATAGACAATTTAAAGTATCCTTTTCTCTTTTTTTTCTCTTTCTTTCTTTTTTATTTTTTTTCAAGTTTTTTCTGTGTAGTCCTGGCTGTCCTGGAACTTACTCTGTAGACTTGGTGGCCTTGAACTCACAGAGCTCCACCTGCCTCTGCCCTCCTGGGTGCTGGGGTCAAAGGTGTGAGCGATCACTGTCTGGCAATTAAAGTACCTTATTTGTGATCTTTTCCCTTATGTACTTCTATAGATGAAAATAAACGAAAAAAGAAAAACTCAGTAAACTTAGATCTAGCAAAAGATACCAAAGATTGTAAAGTTACAATGTTCCATCTGCAGCAGATATTATAAGATACAAAAACAATGTAAAAATTCAAGGTGTGCTTCTGAAATGTAACTTATTCATGAATAACTGAAGATTCTGAGAATGACAAAGATGGGCCCATGTCTACTCAATGCTCTTGCTGGATGGACCACATTGCTGAGTGAGATACTGAGGTCTTTAAGAGGAAAAAAGGAGGGAGTGGGAGAGGGAATGGAGTAGAGAAATGATAATTTGAGTAACTGGTTGCATTTGCTTGTAGAAGTATTCAATGTAAGGTCTCGTTTCATTCCTCAAATTCATAATGGACATTTAGCAAACACGTTTCTCTCCTTAAGGCTAAAGTTAATCTTATCAAAATAAATCAAGTTTCAGATGCTTGTGGAGTTGGAAGTCTAAAGAAAGAACTGAGAACTCCCTAGAGAAACCTTTCATTAAAAGAGAGATACAGATTTCTATCAAATGCTTACATTTACTTGACAATTAAGAACAAAGATTTATGCAGAACTGAAAACACTGCTCGAATTTTATATCTAAATGTCTAAAAAATTAGCAATTTTCATCTCCAAAGTATTTTCTGACCTTCAAAAGCCTCCATCCACATCTTACTATGATCAAAGGCCCGTTTCAAACTCTGTCTATTTCCCAAAGACGACCATAATGTAGGCACCACTTCTGGTCTTCAAACGTGAGAGTTTGAAGTATTGAAGTTGAAATATTACTAACATTTATGCTGATCAATGGTACATATTTTTATTTGCTTATAACCTTAATAACACTTGGCATGTACTATTTGGTAATATACTCTTAATAATTAGCTGTATTCAAGAAAAGGTGCTCAACGAAATCACCACACATACATGGTGTATCTTTACATGTCATATATTTCTAATTCCACTTTTGTTACTGATCAAATAAAAGAAATCAGTTCTATTTCTTACTCATGATAGATTTTTCTGCTTTGACCTTTTCTTTAATTTTGTTTATGTTGTTATCCAAATGTATCTTGTATTTTTTACTTGCTTTTTATTTTCTCTGTCATGCTGGGAAAGGCTTTTTAAAATCTAAGTATAAAACTTTTCAATCTAATTTTTAACAGTACTTCTTGGGCTTCGTTTTTTATTTATACTTATTATTAAATTATGAAATTGCAACCTGTGTAAACAGCCAGTTAACCTATTTTAAAATGCAGTACTCAACAGCTGTTAGCAGATGCAGTGCTATGTAGGTACCAGCTCAACCTTGTCTGAGAGCATTTCCATCACCTCTCAGACATTTTGTGTCATTTACAGTTATCATATTGTTATGAATTTTGATTCATACAAAATTCAGTTAGAAGAAATGGGGTATCAGTGGGTGATCGCACCTCTCGCAGTCCTGATTTCCTTTTTCATGTTCTTCCTCCTTCTGCTCCTCATTTGGACCTTGTGGGGGCTCAGTCCGGTGCTCCAATGTGGGTCTCCGTCTGTATCGCCATCCATTGTTGGATGAGAGTTCACCAAGGCCAGTTGGACTGGGACTGAACGACACGTGATCCAACCACATTCTCTGAATGTGGCCGGATTCTCTGAATGTGACTGGCCCAGAGTCTTTCTGAAAAGCCATTGACAATGACACTGGGACTTGTTTCCTCTGCATATACTGGATTTTTGGAATCCAGTCTGTTTGGATACTCACCTTCCTGGACCTGGAGGGAGGGGGGAGGAACTTGAACTTCCCACAGGGCAGGAAACCCTGACTGCTCTTAGGGATTGAGAGGGAGGAGGAGAGGGAGTGGGGTGAATGGGAGGGTGTTGGGAGGAGGGGCGGAAATGGAAACTTTTATAATTTAATAAATTTTGAAAAAAAATAAAAAATAAAAAAAAAGAAATGGGATAAAGGTAGAAAATACAGAGGCAAAACAATATGTTAAACTAGGAATCTTTTTTTTTTCCAAATTTGCTTTTCTAGTGCCCTAATACTTCTAATTCTTGCCATATGCAAAATTCCTATATTTATAAATAATGAACAGTCAAGTTATGGTGACCATACGCCAGGTTGAATATTCTGTTCTCCAGTCTATATTCTGTTTTGTACTGTTGAGTTATTTCCATTCATGTGTGGTAATACTAATTTTATGATCACCAAATCATTTGATGATCCAATCACAGCGATGCTAACCTTTGGTTATTATGCCCCTCCCTTTTCAGGTTTCTTCAGACACCATGTGCTGTGCCGTGAATATAAAATTTCCCCTATTCAAGAGGTTCATCTGTTAAGTTATTGGCCCTCAGCTAGTAATGCTATTTTGGAAGATTCTGGAAACCTTAGACATTGGGGCAAAACTAGAAGAGGCAGATCCTTGGGGCAATGCCTCTGGATATTATCCTTGGTCATCAGATTCTTCCTTTCTCTTTGCCTCCTGTCTGCCTTGAGGTGGAATACTTCTACATGAGCTCTTGCACCCATGACACTCTACTTCACCACAGAGCCACACAATCCAAAATAAGACCTTCTCCCCTTAGTTATTTCTGCCAGGCATTTAATCATAACTACTAGAAAAAATACCGAAATAAAATAACTTATATCTATTTTAGGTCATGTAGGTAAGTTTTCTTATTCCTCACAAAATAAAAGTTTTCAAACATTTTATATTGCATTGAATTGGTAAATCAATAGTGAAAATTTACCTCTTTATAAATTTAGTTTCCTACCTAATACCAAGTATGTTTTTCTATTAAAATAATCTTCTGTTACCTCGCACATGAATTTAAAGTTGCTTTCTTTCATGACCTGAATAAGGATTTGTGAAATTTATTTCAAGCCTTTTCCCTGTTTTATTATTGAAATTCAATTTATTTGTAAAGTATTCATAATTGTTAAAAATCAGTGTGGTAATTTTGTCTAGCAACATACCAACTCTGTAACTGTTATTAATATGCACTTTTTTCAGATGATACTTTTAGGATTTCAAACTATATAATAGCATAATCTTTAAGTAACAATATTAATATCTTCACTGGGCATCTTTATTTTTCTTGACTCTTTGGGGGAGGTTTCTCTTCTTTTACCATGTAGTATGAAACTGGATCTTGTTGATTATAGTAATATGTGCTCCACTAAGGGTTCGTTGCACTATGAAGCTGGATTTTGTTGATTATAGTGAGATGTGCTCCACTAAGGGTTTGTTTCACCACCCCATCCTCCACTTCTTGCCTTTAATTGAGAAAGAAGTCCCCATTTTTAAGAAATATCTCTTTTCTTCTATATTTTCAGGACTATGATTTTGTTCAGACCTTCAGGATTTATTAATTGGATTTTGGGAGGGAGTGCAGTTTCCTTCATTTGGTCCTTTGATTCTCGCTTGTCTCCTTGTCTTTCATCTTTTCGTGTCTGAGTTTTCCCCAGGCTGCACACAGATCTGTGACCTGGGCTTCTGCCACGTTGCTCATGTTCCTCTCTATCTTTAGCCCATGGCTGGCTTCTTAATGCTGCTGTTTTCACTCCTGTCTTTTTTTAAATTTTGCAGTGTCATCTAAAAATGTAATCTTATTGCTATTCATTACCTTTCAAAATTTTTTGTCACTTTCCACCTGGTGAGAAATCAAAGGCAGGGACAATTAGTGGGGAAATCTGTCC